TACTGGGGTTTTCACTGTGCCAGCACCCAGAGGCAGTGGTCCTGAATCTCATCTCTCCTCCCTCAGCCTTTCCATCCCACTGTCTCCAGGGGAAAAGTGCCTGGAAATCATCTCACCCCCCAGCCTGCTGCTTATGCTCGAGCTCTAGGTAAGGAACTTCCCGAAGTGGGACAAGAGGGGGTTGCAGGATTTCTTTTGGCACAGAGGAGTTTTCCTGCTTGTTTTCTGGCTGGAGAAAACAACCCTTGTGTTTAGCCAAGGATGTTATGCTGCTCCCAGTCCCGATGGAGGTCAGGTCCCAAGCCAGGGAAGGGAAATATTTTGGTTTCTGCTGGGGCTCTCAGGCCCCTCCTGTCCTGTCTCTGCACAAAGCGTGGTCTGCAGGGAAATCTGGAGCCTGTGGTGAGACCCTGCAGCTCTCTGGATGTTTTTATCCCAGAAATCCCTGCTGAAAATCTCTGCATTTGCTGCCTTCCCAGCTCTGTTGTGGATTACCAAGGCACGGTGTGAGTGCTCAGAGGAGCAGGGCTGCTCCCGAGTTTTCCTCAGGTTTTTCTTTTGCCACCAAATCCTTCCCTTTCCAGGCTGTCCCCTGCACCCAGCCTCCTCTGGGGGCCTTGTTCCCATGCCAGCTGGAGGCTTGATGGTTTGTTTTGTGGAAAACTGCTGGAAACACCTTCAGTGAGGATCACAAGGGATTCCTTGGAATTCTGCACCATCCCTGGGTGCCGGGATTTGCTGCTGTTCTGAGCACGCCTGGCTCAGCAGTCCTGTGCCACCTTTGGGTTTCCTTGTTTGCTGGATCCTTAATTTTTTTTTTTTTACCTTAATAGCCCGAGGTGACTTAATCAGGCCTGATTTTTCACAAAAGAGGGTTTGCATGACTGGAAATTCAGGGAGATGATGATGATGATCCCAGGAAATGCAACTCCCATCCCATGCTCACAGCATGACCCACTCAAGCCTCCTTTCAAAAGCCTTTTTTTTTTTTTTTTTTGTTTTTTTCTGGCAACAGGCTTTACCCAAAGGATTCCCTGGGGCTCCCCTCTTCACAGCTCAGCAGGTCTAATCCGTGGCTGGAATTCAGGGGCTTCTGAGCAACAAATGGCACCTTCAGGCTTTGAAAAAATAATTTATTATAATGAGGGAGGGAAAAGAGGGATGTAAAGGTATGTTTTTCCCAAGGGGTGGCTGATTTCAGGATTTGGGGTGGAAAGACCCTGATGTCCAAGTGAAGAGGGCCCTGGCTGGGGGAGGAATCTCTCATTTTTTACTGTTTAACAGCCTCACTCGGTGTTGGGATGTTGGGAGTGACGCTGGCTGTGGTTTGCCCTCCCTCCCCTGCCCCTCCCTGAGTCATCCGGCCCTGAGTCACCCTCCTGCTCTGCTGAGATCATCTCCAAGGGGTTGGCACCAGCCCGGCCCCAGGACGGCCCCAGCCCCCCTTCAGCAGCCCCTGGGCTGTGCCTGTGGGCTCCTGCCCTGCCTTGATGCCCCCCCCGAACATTAATTAAAGCTTCCAGCTCCGTGCCATTGTCCAGCACACATTGAGTCCCTGGGGCTGAGCCACAGAGGGGTGCTTGGATCTGCCCCATGTCTCCCCCTCCCCTAAAAAAATCCAGGCTGGTGGCATTCCTGGGAAGAATTCTGCTCCTTTTGTTCAGGCTGGTTTTTGAGGACAGGCTCAATAAGGCAGGCAGGATCTGGCTGGGGGGATTTGGGATTTGCTCCATGACTCTCTTTTATCACCCTGAGCAATCAGATCTGGCACAGGAAAGCTTTCACCCTTCCTTAAAAGAAAGGGAATGGATGCTCCCTCCCGTGGAGGGAGAGTCTGTCCTGCCCTTTGTCTCAGACATTTTGGCAACCCCTTTTCCCCAGGTTTCATCCCACTCACCTATAAATAACTCCTGAAAACACCTCCGGAGGTGATAATTAATCCGAGGGCTCTGTGGCTGCTCCAGCTAAAATTGCCTGGGCTTGCTGGTGCCAGCTCCCTGTCAGCCTCAGGCAGTGCCAGGGATCCAAACTGCGATGGGATGGGATAGGATGGGATGGGATGGGATGGGACGGGACGGGACGGGACGGGACGGGACACCTGCAGTGCCAAACCCTCTGGGATGCTGCAGGAGAGCTCTGGGGAATGATGCAGGGGCCAAGGCATGTTCTGGACCCCTTCCCATGGTTGTTCCCACAGTTGTTATCCCTGCACTGCTCCCCAGGCTGGACCATCACAGCTGCAATCCCAAAGCCACTTCTTTTTGTGGATGCGTGTGGGTTTGGGTGGTTTATGTTAAATGGGGCTGGTGCTGCTCCTGGCACGTTGATTTCCCTTGTCCACACTCCTCAGGGAGGTGGGATGCACTCCTCATCTTCTCAAGTCGTGCTTCCATGGTTTCCCACAGTGGGAAATGAGCTCCTAGAAAACCTCCCCAAACTGGAGTGGTGCCTGGGTACCAGCAGCAGTATTTACTTTTTACAAAGCCACCCAAAAGGTAGATTATCAAATAAATAAATTAAATTATTAACTGCAGGTCTGAGGGTGAGCATCCAAGTGAGAGTGCCCAGAGCAAGGGACCCACGTGTGGGTGGAGCCCTGCACAGGTAAGGAAGAGGGAGTGTTCCTGTGCCTGTGAATAACCAGGATATTTATTTAAAAGCACATACCTCTAAGGGAGAATGGCTTTCAGCTGTCAGAGAAAGGTTTAGATGGAATATTAGGAAGAAATTCTTCCCTCTGAGGGTGGTGAGGTTGCCCAGGGAAGCTGTGGCTGCCCCCAGAGCCCTGGAAATATCCAAAGCCAGGTTGGACAGGGCTTGGACATGCTGATGTGTCCCTGTGGGCCAGAGGTATCCATGGACCTCCACACTGTGGAGCTGGAGGAGCCTGAGATCCACCCAGAGCTCCCGTGGCAGTGGGAAAACCTCCCTGTTGCCCTTGGGGACTGGGCTGAGGCTGAGAAACCCTGTGGCTGCAGAAAAATGCCAGCAATTCCTGTCATTTCCCGTGGTCTGGCTGGTGGGAAGCAGGGAGAGATGCTGGCTGCAGGGCTGCCATGTCCCCCAGGACACCCCATCCCAAAACCAGAGAGCTTCAGGGCCATAATTTGCAGCTGGGGTGGGTCTGAGCAGTCCAGAAGAGCTGGGAAGTAGCACTGTCTTTCCCAGACTTACTGGATGTTAAAATCCGGGGGAAATAAGACAAACACCCAAAAAGTCCCTGGATGGGAGCAGAAATCACCAGCTCTGGAGGGGGGGGGGCAGCTGCTGAGGTGGGAAGTGTTTGTACCCCCGTTCTCCAAGGGCAGTGAGGGCATTTTGCTGCTGCCTTTTCCCTGACATTTGAAGGATTTGCTGGGAAAACTCAGGCTGCAGTGCCTGGGGCTCTGACGAGCTCGGGGAGAGGAGCAGTGGTTGGCCCTGCCTCAGTTTCCCCTTTTGGGAAGCGCTCCAGAGTCAGCTCTGGTGCTTTAATCTGGGCTGTGGCTGTGGATTTCTTCATCTCCCAGCAAGGGAAGCTGGGCTGGAGGCTGTGCCCTGTTTTTTGGCTCTGTATGGCTCCCAGTTAAGGGGCAATAAGAGGGGACATCATTCCTGATTAACCCTTCCTGGGAAGGTTTGGGGAGGCCCGAGCTGTGGTGATGATCCAGCTCCTTCCCCTGAGCCAGAGCCAGTTGTCCCAAGTGCTTTGGCTCCTAAGTGGCTCTGGGAATCCTCTCCTGGCAGCAGTGTCCGTATCCCTGGAGCATGGCGTGGGGGATGAACAAGTCCCCGTGGAGTTACAGCCACCCCCTGGGCTGGCTTGCTGGGAAGGGTGGCCTTGTCCCTGCTCCTGCCTCTGGATGATCCCAGAGTGTCCTCTGCTGGGCACAGGGATGCTTCTCCAGCCCTGGCCCTGCACATTCCTTCTCCAAGGGAAAACCAAGATCAGGATAAAGCAATAAGGGTGAGGAGAGCAAAGGGAGGAAGAGGATACCTGGATTCTGCTGTTGTTTCTCTTTGGCTGTGTTAAAAATATTTCTGAAATTAAATAAGTCATGGGATGGGCATTTTGAAACTTCCTTTCAGTTTTACTTTCCCTGCACCAGGGGGTTGGAGCTGAAATTGGGATATGTTTATATTTTTTCCTCAGTTGTGCTCCTCTGATCTGAAATCAAAGAATTCTCCCCTTGTCCGTGCAAAGAAAGTCACTGGGTTGATCCAGAGCCAGTTTGCAGCAGGGCACTCGGAGAACCTCTCCTCAAGGACATTTTGAAGTGTTTTTTTTTTGGCACTGGATACTGCTGGAAGCCAGGGATGCTCAGGCAGGACTGGAGCCACTGTGGCTGTGCTGTGATGGCCCTGACAGGTCTGCAGGGTCTCCTTTCCAGCTGTCACCAGAGCCACGGGGACAGCCTGAGCTGTCACATCAGGAACGTGTGGAGCTGCAGGAGCTGCATTTTCCAAGCAGCTCAGCCCTTACACACTGTGGGGAGTCTGCACACCCCAAAGAAAGGTCTCCTTCTGTTTGTGGTGGGCAGGAGGAGGGGAAGAAAAGTGCTGGGCAGGTTGTGGGCAGGGTGGGTGTCCAAGAGATTTGGCCACCGCAGTGGGGACAGTCCAGACCAGACTGCCTTGGACTTCATGGATCCTCCTCTGAAATCCCTGCTTTTCCAAACTGCCAGAGAAAAGAGCAGCAGCAGGTACTCAGCAAGACACCTGTGCTGCTCTGATGTACTGGGATCCCCCAGCTCAGAGCCTGGAATATTCACCTGGGAACTGCGGCGGCCTCAGGATGTCACCTCCCAGCAAGGACCACATCACCAGGCAGCAGGGACAGGAATGCTGAGAAGGGGGTTTCAGTATTAAGGTGGCTTTCACACCATGGGGGATTCAATCTGTCCCTTCTCCAGCTCTTTTTCCATGAACAAACAAGCATCCCTCCCATAACTCTCAAGACAGAAAACACAGCAGCCTTTATTTTTAGTATTCAGGGTTTATTTATAGGGCTGGGATTTGGGTCTTTCCCTGAGCATCATTTACAAAGAGCAAATCAGTTGTGGGGGCTCATAAGCAATGCTTACAAAGATCTCCTCACCAGCAGGTGAGCTCCAGCTCCAGCACATCTGCCTGATGGGCAGTTTGGGGGAAACACCAGTGGTTTTCCAACAGCTTGGTTTTGTTCAGGGTCTTGTAAACCCATGAAGATGTGCACCAATCTAGGTTTGCATGACAGGAACTGTGAGTGTACAACATTTGCCTCTCCTACAACCGCAGCCACACAGAGATTTCAAACAAAAATCTGACCAGATGGTTCTCCTAAAGTCCTCCAAAATCCCTACCTATCTCTGCTGCAGGTGGAGGTTAAAAGAAGTCACTGAGTCCTCTGCACACTGACAGGTGGAAGCCAAAGGCCAGGGATTTCACACTCAGACCTTCCCAAGTGACTGCAGCACTCCTACACAAGGCATTTTGAACAACCCATTCTTAATTAAAAGGCCAAAATTAGATCAGTGGAACAGCCCTTCTCGTGCGGATTTTTCAAAGCATCCCTATCATTCCTTGGCTGAAAATCACAGTGTTTTATTCATTGCAGTGAAATTCGAGCTGTTCCCTGACCCCGCTCCTGGGTCTGGAGCGGGAGCTTGGTCACCTACCGCTGTTCCCAGGTGCTAGTGGGACTTGGCTTTGGTGGCCTTTCCTATCCTGCCCTTCTTGCAGAAGCACCTGCGGCAGCAGCAGAGGCAGCACTTGAAGGAGATGAAGAGGGTGAGGAGGGTGACGGCCGCCAGGAAGGCAATGACGTCCAGCGAGTGGTACTGTACCCAGTTGAGGTCGTGGGCGGCGGGGCGCAGGTGAGGGGCCCCCTTGTGCCTCATCACAAACTCCACCCAGTGCACAGCCAGGTCCAGAGGGTGGATGGGTCTGTCCAGGTGCAGGTCGGAGAGGCGCTGGATGTTCTCCTTGTACCTGCCGAGAGAACATGGAATCCTTTGAACCTCTCGGGGCAATCCCAAGGGCCTTACCTTGGAAGACTATACCACTGAGTCTCCAGCTAGGCTGAAAGAGAAAACTTCCCCATGGAGCCTTGCAACACTATGATCCACCCCAGTTCCTTTCCCTGTATGTCCCAAAGTCTCATGGTTTTCCTTTCCCTGTTTCCTCCTGGTTGTGGTACCCCTGGTGGCCAGCCCCATCTTCCCTGTAGGCCAGTGCCCTCAAACCATTGGCCACTGACCCCATAGCTAACCTTGTGCAGAGCACATGGTCCTTCTTTTGTGCCTGATTTCCCCTTCATCGAGCAGAAATAAACCACACTGGAACTGACCATATAAAAGGCCCTTCTGCCTCTCTTGGCTGAGCTAGCCGTGGTGAGTGTGGTGTGTGTGGACTTGATTGCCTTGCCTGAATGCTTACTCAAGCGGCTTTTCCACAGGAGATGTGTCACTGCTGAGCCAGAAATTACACAAATTCACTCAAAGGCTGGTTTGCAGGAGAAGGCTGAACAATTGCTTTATTAAAACTATACTGTATTACATTAATACTATGTTAAAACTATACTAAAGAGATACTATACTACAGAAAAACCTGTGACTGTCTGAGACAGCCAGGACACAGCTTTTAGTGATTGGCTAATCACTCAAAACAACTTTCACCAGTGTCCAATTAACCAAATCACTTTCAGTAAACAATCTCCATAACACACTCCACATGTGCAAGGACAGGAGCAGTGAATAGAGATAAGAACTGTTTTCTTCTCTGAGGTTTCTCACTGCCTTCCCTAGGAAAAATCCTGGGAGAGAGAATTGTCTCTCTCTGTTCAGAGAATGTGAATACCACAGAGAGGCTTACTGGAAAATAGGTAGCAGCAACCACCTTCTAAACCCCACGCTGCTACAAGAGAAGGCATTGCTCAAACATGGAGTTGATGCCTTAGGATTTTAGCTTTTATGTTTTTTAAATCCTGTACTGCTTTAGGGTGGAACTCGAAAACTCCATAGCCTGTCAGCTGCTGTTCTCCCATTTTATTCAGGCAAAACAATTCCTCTGGGCCTGAAACTCAGGGACACCCTACAGCCTCAGGCCCTGAAAAATGTAAACAACAGTGAACTGGAGTGGGGGGCAAACTGGGATATGTGACTTCATTACCTGAAGCTGTAATTGGGATATTAACCCCTGATATGTAAATGGACCAAACTTACAATTGTCTGAAAAACTCGTGACCATCATCTATCTTGGGTGTAGCCTGTGGGAGGCTTCTGACTGCCCAAGGTGTATCTACTGAAGGCCTTTAATAAATACAATAAATACTCACTTTATTCTCTTAACCTTGTCTAGCCTCTGTTCTAGGGAGCCACTCCAAGGCATCAGTTTTCTGGCATCCCAGATGGGACAAAAAAAAGCTTCTGGAAAACCCTTGGACCAGAGAAAAATCCAGCTTTTTTAAAATACCCACTAAATTATCTTAATATTTTCTAGCCTCTGTGCTAGGTAGCCACTCCAAGGCATCAGTATCATGGCGGGGGGTGGGTTGGGGGGACCTTGAAGCTCATCCCTCATGGGCAGGGACACCTTCCACCAGGCCAGATTGATCCAATCCCCATCCAGGACACTTCCAGGGATGGGGCAGTCACAGCTTCTCTTGGATCTCGTGCTACTGAGCCCCTTGAGAAGGGCAACAGCAAAGTTACAGGCCCAGGAAGAGTTGCTTCCAATGACCACAAAAAAAAAAAAAAAAAAAAAAAAAAAAAAAAAAAAAAAAAACAAAAAAAAAAACAAAAGGAAAAGCTTAGTTTGAGCTCTCAGGAGAATCTCTGGGGTGGGTGAAGGTCTCTGGCCAAAAGGGGAGACTGGGGGTGGAAAAGCTAGCCAGCTTTTCCAGCTGCATTATTATTGTTTTTATTAGTAGTAGTGTTATTGCTATTATTGCCATAAAAATTGGGTAGGGAACAATGTCACTAAGCTGCTACTTCTCAGGAATGTGGTGGAGTTTCTTAGTCCTTGGCATCCTCGAATGGGAGCAGGGAAGAGCTCTTCTGAAAGAAATCCCTGTGCTGCCTTTAAGCCCCTTGGGTGTGCTGACTGCAGCCTTGTGATGTTCCCTGGGTTTCCTCAATGCATTCCTGCAGGTTCCTCCTGCTCTGTGCTGGGATTGTACAGCCTTGCTGAGCCAGACAAGGCTCTCTGTGCTCACAGAATTCATTTCCTCATGAACATTGGGGGAGGAAATGCCTGAGAAAACTCACCTGTGAGATAAATGAGTGATAAATATGTTTGATAAACCCTTTTCAGGCTCCCCACTGACCTGAGTCACCACAGGTTTGGGAACAAAAGCTGTTTGCCACTTGTATCAATGCCTCTGTCACTGCCTTGGCTTTAAGAAGGTGACAATTTTTTTGCCAACTTGACTTCTTCCATTGCATTCCCAGCCCATCTCCCCTGCTTCCTGCAGCCTCCCTTCTCAGCCATTTCTTGTCCCCTAAAGGGGACAGCCTGAAGTTAACCCAGGGTGAGCATCAGCTTCTCCATGGAAGCAGCTGCTATCAAATCCAAACTTTTGATCAAAGAAGCCATTTAGGAAGAGAAAAACACCCTGTTAAGCTGGAAGTGAATGTGCTGGGGCCACACAGTAAGAAGGGGGAAGGGTGTGCTCTGGTACTGACGTTTTGTCGTTGATCACCGCTTTCAGGGCATTGGAGATGTCGTTGGAAGTCATCTCCAGGATGTTCAGGGTCAGCCCTGCTCCCCGGGACTCCACTCGCTTGGCATTGTCCATCTGGTCCCCAAAGAGAGGCATCAGCACCATGGGCACTGCATTGCAGATTCCCTCATAAACACCGTGGGAGCCTCCGTGGGTGATGAAGGCACGAGTCTTGGGGTGGGCTGTGGAGGGAAACGCAGGCTTGTGTTAGCTCCTGGAATTACTGACTCCCAGCAAAACGTCCTTGGGGAAAAAACATGCACTAAAAAGGGCTGTGGTTAGGATAAATCAAGGATTTGGGGCTGTTGTGAGCATCATCCCTCATGGCCAGACTTAGGGATTGGAACTTTGTAGACCTCTGTCTCAGTTTTGGGTAATCCTCCAACTTTAGGATTAAACCAGAGCCAGGAGAGGTTAAAAAGAATGTTGCCACCAATTAGTTTTTCACCATCTCTTCCATGGTAGTGAAGGTCTTTCACAGCTGAACCTGTTCTGTTACCAGCAAATCCTGGCAACAATTCCACCACTTTAAAAGCCCAAAGACCTGTCTGGAAGCGCTCCCTTGAGGACCATGAAGTGTTTCTTCAGGGCAAAAGGTAGGAAAAAAACACAGCTGGTTGTTGAGACTGCTTAGTCAGACATAAAGACTCTCATCTTTGACTGGTACTGGAGTGTTGGAAAACCTTTTCAGAGTTGTTTCATAATTTGGCAATTCCCAGCTAAGTTCCTAAAGGACAAGCTCTGGCTCCAACGGCAAAGGAAGGTTTGTGACCCGCACTGCTGGCTCAGGGGAAGGTAACTCACACTGACCCACAGATGATGCCCCTGGGGCCTCACCACAGCAGCCCTGGAGCAGCAGCACCAGCCTGGTGTCAGCCCAGGTGTGTCAGACCTACCCAGGAGGTCATTCTGAGGCAGCCACTTGACGAGCTTCACGTTCTTGGGCAGGTTGGGGGGCGCCTTGCCTGTGTAGCGCCAGAAGACCTGGCAAGGGAAGCAAAGCCCATGTCAGATCCCAGCAGAAAGAGGGAGGGAGGACCTGAGACCAGCGTGGAGCTGCTCTGCTGGAAGGGGAAGAGGGGATTGGTACCGTCTGAGGGACTGTTCCCAAGCCCTCCGCGATTTCCATGGCTTTCTTCATAGGAATCTCGGACACCATGGAGCCCAGAGAGAAAACAACGATGCCGTGTTCTCCAGAGGCGTTCACCATGGCTTCAAATTCCTGCCAAAGGAAAGCAAGCCTTTAGTCAAAGCCCTTTCTCTTGTCAGAGACTGGAATTGCTGCCACGTTCCCACAAAACTCTCTGAAAAGGCAACAGAACAAGCAGTGAGCACTACAAAATTGTTACCAGGAAAATAAGTTGTCATTGAGAGTTCTGCACCCAAAGCAGCACAGCCAGCAGGGCCAGGGACAGGATTCTCCCCCTCTCATGAGACCACACCTGCATCCTGCATCGAGCTCCAGGGTCATAACATGTGAAGGACATGGGACTGTGGGAGCAAGTCCAGAGGAGAACCATGGAGTTGACAAGGAGACAGGAGCACCTCCCTTATGGGGACAGGCTGGGACATCCTGTTCAGCCTGGAGCAGACAAGATTTTTGTGTGCAGACCTCAGAGCCCCTTTCCTCTGAAGATGCCCAGAAGGAAGCTGGAGAAGGACTTTTCATGAAGAATTGGAGTGATGGGACAGGGAGCAATGAGTTCAAACCAAAAGAGGGGAAATTTGTGTTAGGCTTCAGGAAGAAATTCTTCTCTCTGAGGGTGGGGAGGCCTCACAGGTCCCTGCACAGGGTGCCCAGAGCAGCTGTGGCTGCCCCTGGATCCCCGGCAGTGTCCAAGGGGAGGATGGATGGGGTTTGGAGCCACCTGGGATAGTGGAAGGTGTCCTTGCCCACGGCAGGGGATTGGACTGGATGGGCTTCAATGTCCCTTCCACCCCAACCTGGCCTATGATCCTAAAGAAAATGAGACTTTGGAAAGTAAAAATGGGCACATTTAACCCAAACCTGGATTCGGAACTGATGTTCTTCTTTCCAGACCAAGCAGCTACAAGAGAGAATTAAAATCCTGGAAGAGGGTTCTGACAGCAGGTAACTCAAATTTCTAATATCTGGATTTATTGTATCTGCTTTGGGTGTGATAACACTGAACTGCTGCCAGTTTTGTCTCTCTTTTGTTTGAGTGATTTAAATAATAAAAGGAAATCTAGCACTGGAATCCAGGAACAAAAAGATTCCAGTGAAGCAGAAAAAAACAGCCCAAGGCTGGAGCAAAAATTCTTTGAAACAGAAAAATGTTTGGTTGAGCCAAGGAAGGAAAGGCAAAACTGGAGGAAATTATTGCAAGCATCAGAGTTAAATAAGGGGAAAACAATGAAATGTTTCTGTAATTCTGGCAATTGCCATGTTATCTGTGGGATCTGAGGGGATAACCAGAGAACCGTAGAATGCTTTGGGTCGGAAGGGACTTTAAAGATTGTCTCATTCCAACTCCCTGCCATGGGCAGGGACAACAGAGACTGACTCTGTCAGTTTATGCTCTTTTCCATATTTTTGTGGCTGTCTCAAGGCATATTTAATCCTATTTATATTCTGTGGGACATCAGTTTTACTTTGTTTTTTAGATGTTTTTGAGTTCCAAGGTCTGACTTTCTGCTCAGAAGTTTTCCTACTATGAGGAAACTCTTTGAAGCCCTGCTTTGGGGATATGCAGGTTATTTTAGTAGTGGTTTTAATCAGCACCTGCTCATACTTTTACAAAATATCTGCAGTGGAGACTCATGCAAAAAATAAGATAATTAGGAGGATTTCCTAATGCAAAGTGGAAGATATCCCATACCAAGAAATTTTGGCACAGTTGAAGCAAAATACAGTTGGCAGTGCAGAGTATTTTACACAAAAGTGGCAGAAGTGCTGCTTCACTGGTGGTGGGGATTTAATTCGAGCCTGCCTGAACTGTCTGAAGTTCATGGAACATCCTCAGTTGGAAGGGACCTGCAGGGATCATTGATCCACCCCCTGGCCCTGCACAGACACCCCAACAATCCCGCCCTGGGCAACCCTGAGAGAGGTGTCCAAGCCCTCCTGGAGCTCTGGCAGCCTCAGGGCTGTGCCCATTCCCTGGGGAGGATGGGCAGTGCCAGCACCCTCTGGCGGAAGAACCTTTTCCTAAAATCCAACATAAACATCCCCAACACAGCTCCAGCCACTCCCTTGGGTGCTGTCCCCAGCCACAAGAGCAGAGATGGGAGCTGTCCCTCCACTGCCCCTCTTAAGGAATCTGTAGACAGGAAAAAGGAAAAGGGAATGGAAATAGACAGGAAAAATGGAAAAGAAAAAGCTGCTCCCTTTTTTTTTTTTTTTTTTTTTTTTTTTGTGTGTGTGCAGGTTTGACTGGGAATGCAGAGGTGTCCCACAAAGTAACTTTTCCCTCATTGTTGAAGGGATGCAGTGGTGCAAAATGCACTCCCAGCCACTTTCACCTGGCATCCTTTATTCCAGCCTGGGAGCTCCATCTCCCGGAAAGAGCTCACAGCGCACCCACAGCTAAACTCGGAGGAAAAACGGGAACTAACCTGGGATAATTTGTTTTCCTGAGTGCAGCCTATGCCTCCGACCAAGACCATGTTGGGCATGAGGGGCCTGGGGTACTCAAAGACAAAGTCGTATTTCATGAGCCAAACAGCGGCGTGGCTGAACAGCTCCGGCACTGTCGCCTCCCGCTGCAGGAACTTGCGGATCAAGGGATCATAGGGGGAATAAAGGACAGAGCAGGCCAGGGAGCTGCCCAGGGTGGCCAGGAGGTTGCCCAGGCGCTGCCAGAAGGACATGCGGTCCGTGGAGCGTGTGAAGAACCGTGGGACGTAAGAAGGAGGGCTGGGACACATGGTGGCCTGGAATTCCAGGCTGCACGGCAGCCCCCGCAGGAAGTACACGGAGGGCAGGGACAGATGTTCTGCCAGTATCTGCCCACATGGGAAGAAGGGATCCATAAAGATGGCATCAAATTTGCTTCCCTCAAGGTATTGGATCAGCTCTTTATCCGACAGGAGACGCTTGCAGGAATCCAAGAACATGCTCGTAAAATTGGCAATTTTGGAGAGTTTTTCCAAGAAGGGTTGAGGTGTGAAACTCCTGTGGCCCATCTTTTTAAATTCTGCCTCCACAAACTCCTTGGTGTAGGACACAGGGTAGGTTTTCAAGGTGTAAATTGGGGATGAATGGATGCGCAAATTTATCTCCGGTGCAACAACCACGATTTCATGTCCCTTGTCCCTGAGCTTCTCTATGACCGGGAGTGTGCTGAGCCAGTGGCTGCCATCGATGGGTATGACCAAGAGCTTCCCACCTTCACCAGAGGTCCACAGCAGCAGGAAAAACACAACCCAAGAGTCAAGAGAAAGAAATCCTGGCTTTGGAGAAACCATTTCCCTGGTGCCGCTAGCGAATTTATAAACGGTGGTGAAACTGTGGCCGGGGATGAGGAATGAATCACGGGGTGCTTCCCACTTGGATTTTAACTAAGGTGGGCTTTTAATTTTTAACAGGTAGAAACTGGGGTAATTTTTAACTGTGGGTAAATATTGGGTTTATCATCTGTGCAAAGGGAAGGCTTTCAGTGAGTGGGTGCCTTGAGGTGAAGCTGAATGTTTGGACTGACACCCGGAGGGAGGAGTGACCAACAGCCTGTGGTGCTGAGAGGCTGAATGAGAGCCATGAATGGGGCTGACCCAGCAATCACTACATCATTAACATCCAGTTAATGATCAACCCACTGCCTTGAGTCCACTGCACTGATTGGACATGAAACTAGGCACAAATCTGACCTTTGGATCGCTTTGTGCCCCCAGAGTGTAACCAAGAAGCTAAGATTGACAGAGGTTTGATAGAGTGGGTTGTAAAGGTTTATCTCCAGATTTGTTGCTCTATCACAGCAGTTATCAAAGTGAAAGCCCTGAATTTACAGTAGTAAATGTGTTGCAAGCGGAGCAGTAACTCCAGCTGTCACAACATCACAATGTCTGAAAGCAGAATGACCCGGGGAAATCTGCTCTATTTGCACAGCATGAGGGGAATCTGAATAAGGGACAGTAGTTACAATCCTGAAGGCTTCCTTTCCTAACTATCCTCTTATTTGCTATCTTGCACTGCTGCTTGCCCAAATCCAGAGGCAACAGAGCTCCCTCTGCTGTCTTTGCACACCCCTGGTTTTGGGCTGGTGGTGCGCATGGAATCATGGAATATCCTGTTAGAATTTCCTGACCCACAGGGATCATTGATCCAACCCCTGGCCCAGAACAGACACCACAACAATCCCAGCCTGGGCATCCCTGGGAGCATTGTTCAAACGGTCCCGGAGCTCTGGCAGCATTGGGAATGTGCCCATTCCCTGGGGAGCCTGGGCAGTGCCCAGCACCCTCTGGGGGAAGAACCTTTTCCTAAAACCCAGCCTGATCCCCTCTCCTGATGTTCTGAGCTTCGCCCAGCTTCATGTTCAGTGGCACAGCAAAAGTGCCTGGGTATATCCATGGAGTTAATTCTATATTTCCAATTTTTGTCCAATCAAGTATCCTACAATTAACCGGCATTCCACATCCCTTAGGGATATTAAATCCTGTGACCTAGAATTATTTTGTTATTTGCCTGGACATAGAGCACGCCACAAGTGATGGTGACAACTTGACCTAAGCTCTTCTGGAGAGAAACCCTTCAGCAAGCCTTGTGATCATCTCAAAGCCTAAGTTTCCCACTCCCATGCCATCCTGGGATTTGATTACAACGTTACCTCAAGCATACAAATATCACTACAGGAAACACTTAAAGAAAGCACATCTTGAACAAGCACCAACACCACCCTCAGGGTAAGCAACGGCAAACCTTTGAGAGTGGCTTCTTCTGCAGGCAGTTGATGCCTCCAACATAGACCATGTTGGGCATGACGGGGCGCGGATACTCAAAAACAAAGTCGTATCTCATCAGCAGAACTGATGCTTGGCTGAACAGCTCCTGTATCGTTACATCCCTCTGCAGGAACTCAGAGGCCAAGCTCTCGTATTTCAAATAAAACAGGTGGCAAAGCAGAGGCTCTGAGAGCCCGATTAGGAAGTTCTTCACGCGCTCAGGGAATGTCATGCGGTTGGAAAGAGATGATAAAGTCTTGGGCACATAGGATACAGGGCTGGGAGACTGCGCGGCTTTGTAGTCTAAGGTACAAGGAAGGC